AACACACAAAAGTATAAACGAATATCTTGAAGCTCAAAATCGTACTTTATCCGTCCTAATATTACATTTTCAAATAAAGATATCCTCATATTTATCTGTACTTATACAAACATTAGAAATCACCCTAAATAAAACTAAAATATAGAGAAAAGTACTAAAATAGAACTTTCATGTTTTTTTTCTCGAAATAAGACTTTGCACTGTGGTAATGTAGCATTGTACATGTGCACAGTCCCAACATGTTGTATTGGAGCTCGGTTCTTGCGGGTGTGAGTGACGAAGTATGCAGTATAAGAAAATTTAGTGTGAGGCTTTTTAGGAGGTGCACAAAAATAAATTCGTGAGCCAGAGCGGACAATGTAAGAAAATAATGGTATGAGGCCTTTTGAGAGGTGTCCAAAAACAAATTCGTGAGCTAGAGCAGACAATATGATACTAATGCAGGGTTGAGGAAAGGGCACGTGTAGTCCCAACATGTGGTATCAGAGACCGGTTCTTGTGGGCGTGAGCGGTGGACTATGTAGTGTAAGAAAATCTTAGTGTGAGGCCTTTTGGTAGGTGCCTAAAACCAAATCAATGAGCCATAACGGACAATATGATACTAATGCAGGGTTGGGTAAGGGCATGTGCAGTCTTAATATGTGGTATCGAAGCCTAGTTCTCCAGGGCATGAGCGACGGACTGTCCAAATCTTAGTGTGAGGCCTTTTAGAGGTTCCCAAAAACAAATCAATGAGCGAAAGCGGACAATATGATACAAATGAGGGTTGGGGTAATCGGCACATGCAGTCCAAACATGTGGTATCAGAGCCCAGTTCTTGGGGGCGTGAGCTGTGCACTGTGCAGTGTAAGAAAATCTTGGTGTGAGGCTGTTTGGGAGGTGCCCAAAAACAAATCTATGAGAGCTTGGCACAGAGCAGACAATATGATACTATTCCGGAGTTGGGGTAAACGCAGAGTCCTAATATGTGGTATCAGAGCCCAGTTCTTGCGAACGTGAGCGGTGGACTGTGGAATGTAGGAAAATCTCGGTGTGAGGTCTTTTGGGAGGTGCCCAAAAACAAATTTGTGAGCTAGAGCGGACAATATGATACTAATGCAGGGTTGAGGTAAGGGAACACACAATCGCAACATGTGTTCTTGCGGGCGTGAGCAGCGGATCGTGTAGTGTAGGAAAATCTCTATTTGGGGTCTTTTGGGAGGTGCCAAAAACAAATTCGTGAGCCGGAAGAGGACAAGATGATAATTGATGGGTGTATTCCACCCACGACCGGTCAATCTCGAAAGTCTTGGAAGGGAGACTTAAATCGTCAGCAAATCGATGTGTAATCGGCCAAAACATGACCGGTATACTTCACGAAAAAGTATACCGGTCAAACTACGTTGTCACCCTATTTATTCCTAGACTTCGATGAATTCATCCCTCGGAGATTACCCGGTGTAGTTTCTAGGGTTGGAAAGTGTCGGCAGAAGAGAATCTAAGAGAGCTTGGCGTGTAGCGACCCATGTCAGTAGAGGACAACTGGAGATGCTGAAGGAATGTTTCCAAGCCAGAACGCGACAAGGGAAGTAATTCCCCTCACAAGGCGACAAGGCAGCTCAAGGACGAAACCAGTCACCTCGCACCACATCAGCAGCGTGCCCCCACGTGGGCGCACGTGGTCTTGTCCCCCTTAGCCTAGTATAAATACTCATGTAAACCTCAGAAAGGGGGATCCGAATTCATTCTCTCTAAACTCCCTTGTAAAAGCACCCATGCATTCTCCGTTATAATATAAATTGGGCTACAGGTGTTCCACCCAAAGTCCTACCGGTCAATCTGCGTGTTTTTACTTTACTTACTTTACCAAGTCAAGCAAACTATTCTAGACCCGGTCTAGTATAGTTTGACCGGTCAAGTAATTTACACCATCATTTTTGGCGCCACCCGTGAGACCGTTAAGGTTTCTTCTCTTCTAAACACAAACCTACCCACAAAAACACCACTCAAAATGTCTTCAAGCCAACAAATCAATGCTACTTCCACTCAGGTATGCAAGCCACCAATGAGGGTACCAGCATCCTGTGGCTGCTACCCTACCGGTCATTTCAGCCCCGGTGTTGCCTTTGGGTCTGAGCTCCGTCCCAACGCCTAGCGTGATCAGCCCATTCACGACCCCCATTCCTTCTGCTGGACCGAGGGTCACGTTCCCACCAAGCATGACTCAGTTCATGAATGACCCAGCCAACCTACAAGCCATCCAGGGCTTTGGCCAGGTCATGGCCATGTGCCAACAGAATGGGGGATGCCTTTTCTCCCTGGTATGTTCCCGTTTGCTCTTCCAGGCGCGGGAACCGTGCCCCTTCAAGCTCCAATGGCAGTGACACCATTCCAGACACCGATGCCGCAACCATCACCTTTCCAGCCTCAACTGGTCAGCACCATGGCCCCTGTCAACTTGACTGGCGCACTTAACGCTGCAGGGCCGTCGCGTCCCCCGCAAGGTACGAATCCGCAGATCACTTGAAAAAATTAATACTCTCTTTTACTCTTTTTTCCTATCTAAAAAATACCTCCACTTTTTATATGATATTCTCTACTCGAACAACGTGCAAAATCTCACGATTTTTAAAATAAGTTAATTTACAAATTAGTATAAAAGTAGAAAATAAAACTTACATATTTAAAAACTACAAACACGTAAAAGTTATCGAAAGACTATAAGCTTGTTTGTTCTATCCATATGTTCTGATTGGATTTGATATGACTTTATTAAGGTTTGATTTGATCTAGTCGGATCTGGTCTAATCTGGTGTTATTTTAGTTATATTCTATATCGTTTCTAAGTTGATTTGTTATGATCTACTTTCAATAATAATAAGTAATAAGTATCAAGAATAAGAACTTTTTATCTTCAACGTATTCTTATTACTTATTACTTATTCTTATTGGAATCAGATCAGAAATTACTTTATACTCCCTCCGTCCCTAAATAGATTACAATTTTTTTCTCTCCTCTCGATAACTTTTGTTTGTTTATGTAATTTCATTAAGTATTTGATAAAATAAAATATGCTTGCCACATCTTATTTTGTAGAACTTTTGAAGTCGTTTTTTAATATGTAATTTTTATATCTTATTAATACACCAATTTGTAAATAAAATGATTTCAAAAAGTATAAAATTTTACTCGTTACCCGCAATTTGTAATCAAATTAGGGACGGAGGGAGTATATAACTACAATTAAATCAGACTCAATCAATCAAAAGTTTTTCAATCAAATCAAAGCCTATTAAATCAGGTCAAAAGAACAAGTCCCAATTTGAAGAGAACAGTTCTTATAGTAAAATGTAAATTATTTTGAGAGGGAGAGAGTATTGTCTATTTGTCTAACATATCATATCATATTTATCTATTATTAATGTTACTATTGCATTATAGGACAAAATGAGAAAGTCAAACACAAAATGTAGTTTACTTGAATTTGCCAAAAGTCACCGGTAACTTCAATTCTTTCGTTGAAAGAGGGTATAAAATTAAAAACTAAAATTTATATATCTCAAAACCATACCGAAAAAATTTACACAATATATGATATTAGGAGTACAATATTATTTGGTCAAACTACAAATGTAACATGTAAAGAATTAAAATCTGAGTATAATTTAACCATATACGGAGTAAATGACAATACAGAATTAGACGTGGCAAATTAGATCCAACACCAATAATTCGAATCGAAAATCTGGAATCAAATATGAAATGACCCGAAACTGAAGAATTGAATTATAATTGAACACCCACAATAATTCATTTCAAACCCAAATATGATTAAACCTAACCGATTAAACCCAGAACTGATAAGACACGAAATCATTAGACCCAAAACCAAATAGATCCGATATTGATCAAATTAAAACAAATGAAACTTAAATCTAGTCAAACCTAATAACTTATTAGTATTAAATTTTTTAAATGAGTTTGGAGAAAAGATTTATATTTTTAAATATGTTGATGTCTTTCTAAAAAATATATTTGAATTAAAGGTACAACAGCTTTCATGCGTAAATCTTTTACTCTCAGGTATATCAGTAATATCACTTAAACTAAGATAGTTGTTATGCATGCACAAAGTATATACGGAGTACAATTTATAGTTAGATCGTAACACACATTTTTACGTAAAAAAGGATATTAACAATGATAAACTCTGTATTGTTGATTTATCAGTATATATTCAAAATATATCCGAACTGATATATACCCGAACAGCTATAAACCGAAATCGATATAAATCCAAACCAATATCTATCAGAAACCAATATCTAAGCGAACCGAAGCTGAATTGAAAATGAAAAAAAATCAAATCAAATTAAATCTAGAACCGAACTAAACTAATCCAAACTAATAACACATTTGAAAGGGGCCCGAACCGGAATCCAACTGATTGACCCGATTGCCATGTCTATACATATTACATCTTTTGTTTTGAAATAAGGAAAAAAGGCTAAATTAGAAGTAAAAATGAAGAGTACAATAAGAGTATAATCCAAATAATGTAAATATATAGTACCAAAAAATATAGTAGGATAATATTATACAATGTCATAGTATCACACTATAAACTCCTATTTTGAAAATAAAATATGAAAATCTTATTTTAATAATATAAAGTTACTCCCTCCGTCCACAAATAAACTTTACGTTCACTATTCACAGAGTCAAACTTTATTCACTTTGTTGGTCTATTTTCGTCACCCATTTAATAAAATAATATAATAATGTCACCTCTAGTTTTGTAGATCTTTTAATATAGTTTTTTAATGTGTAATTTTTATTTTTCAATTCTACACCATTTTTCATATAAAATGATTTGAAAATAACTTCAGTCAAACATCATAATGCGCAATATAAAATTTATTTGTGGACGCAGGGAGTATATTTTTGGGATTATTCTTTATTTGGCAAATTTTTTTCTAGAAACAAATTCAACCATATCTTTATTGGAGTAGTTGGGGAAGTGAAGAGTATTAAAGATGGGTAGTTGGCTCCATTTTTTTTACTCCATATAAAAGATGGGTGGTTCCTTCCTGGTCCATTATCTCAATTTAATTTTTAGTAGCAATTGCCACTGTAAGTTGATGTGCAGAGGTCAATAACCCAAAAACTGGCAAAAATGCGCCAGAGCCGGCGTCACCCGCTAGCTAGTAGGCTCCTCAGAGGGGGAGGACCAATGAGGAGGCGGAGGAGAAGAAAAGAACGAGGCCAAGCAGAAAAGGGGCTTGCTTGCTTGCTTAGGGTTTTGAGACCACTCTCTGCATCTAGCGCACAAACTCTGATCTCTGAAGAGAGATCCAAAGGCACAAAGGGAAGCCATAGTGTCAGGCACAGGGGGGGTGGTGGTTCTTCTTCTTCTTCTTCTTCTTCTTCATCAGGCCCCAGGAGGAGTTACAGTGATATGGTAAACCAGCCACCTCCATCCCCAGAACGACAAGAGAAACTTAGGCTACAAAGAGAGAGGGTGAGCTTGTTTTATGAATGCTTCAACGCTAATACTGTCTCCCGGCCACCACTCGTTCAGGTAATTAACTTATTAAACTCAGAGATTAAGCACTTTAATTTTACAAATCAGAATTATTAACAAATAAGTATTTTTCTAACCTTTTATCCATTCAATGTTTTTTTTGCCTCTTTTATCTCAGGAGATGCTCCCTCTTAAGGACTATTTGACTTTTAAAAGAACAAACATGCTTTGCTATGTCTCTATAGGACATCACAAATGTCTAAAATTAACTCAAGCAGAAGATATGGGAGTTGGTTTGAAAGAAAATGACGACGTTATGATACTCAATGCCTCTGATTCGCACCGTGACAATCTTTTACGATCTCTCATAAACCTCACGCATCTTCTATGTGGGTCTAGCATAGGACTCATACCATATGATCTCAAGCATCTCTTGAGATACTCGAGCAAAGTGCAACGTGTGAGGTATATATATTTCTTGACTATACGAAAATGTGGCTACTATGTTTAATACTCTGTATTTATTATTAAAACATCCGACACAATTATAATGAAATTGGCAAAAGAGAGTTATTTTATATGATTCATATTTTTTAAAGTATATGTTTAAATTCAACATGAGCCTATGAAATAGTCAAAAGTTGTTGCATATATTATTACATAAAATAATGTGAATACTTAATTATTAAGTAATTGGAATATTCAAAGTGGTTTTTAACTAAAAGATAATGTTAATGCTTGTCCATTTTCTAGTATCTTCATAATGACCTATGAATACTACCCTCTTTTTAGTTTTGTTTTGTGATAGAAATACATGAAGTGAACCAACATTGTGAAAAAACAGAGAGTACATTTTACTCTTTTGTGTTACAAATATACTACCTTTAGTCCACAATACCTCCAATGATGTATGATTATATAACGAGAAAATAACCTCTATAGCACTAAAACAATGCCCAATTCTTTTAATAGCACTGGCATTAGTAAACTACTCCCTCCGTCCCAAAAAGATTTACACGTTTTGACTAAAGTTGAAATTAAGGGAGGGATAATTTTGTATTGACTTTCCAAAAATACCCTTGATGTGATGGGTAAAAGTAGAATGTGATGTGTAGATTATTAAAAAAAATGTATGATGTGATAGGTAGGGTTTGAAAAAGTAAGGGGTAAAAGTAGTTTTTTAATAGAAATGGGTAGGAGATTCTGGGACGCAATTTTTTTGAAAGGTGTAAATCTTTTTGGGACGGAGGGAGTATATGTTTTATTAATGCAGGGCCAATGAAATGACTTTATTGGCCTTTTCTTGTATGTGTAGTGCTTTACAATGGTGCAATGTTGTTCTTTTATTGAAAATTCATGAATGATAGTAGTGCAGTGCAATGTGTTGCTTTTGTTGTGGGTGTTTTTTGAACGACAAAAATAGGAAAAAAAGAGGTTTGAGAGTATTGGAGGGTAGTGATTTTTGAAAAATGGGTGGGATATTTTTTTTGCAACTTAGAATTTGAATAGTATTCTAGATTAAGCATAATATTCTGCTTTTTTTTTTGGGTACGTAGAATTTGAAACTATTTGAGCCTAAGGTCCTTAATAATTGAGAATATTTGAGAGAATAGGTGGCAAATGATGTTGGGATGTTAAAATTCAATTGAAGATTATGGCAGTGGATTTTAGTTAATGCAGTAGTAAATGGATGATCCTAGGACAATGATGTTCTTGTATGTGTTTGGGAGTCCAGCCGTGAAGGGGAAAAAGAGCAGATTTGGGAGTCGGAATAAAAAAGAGGCTATTAAAAGGAAAAAAAGAGACTAGTGCTATTTAGGTAAACCTCTTATGTTTAGGTTCTATTTTGAGTAAATTTTACACATACAATCTATGTTTTATTGCAGGAAAAATGATGAATTCATCTTGCATCACCCTGCATTATGGAACGAGATATCTGTTGAGAAGATGCTCCTAAGTCTGGATATAAACAATTCAATTACTACGGAGCCTAAACCCTTAAACAAAGTTGTAGCTCGGATTTCATTTTCTTGGAAAAAAGATTTTGAAAACTTGGTTATCAACAATGCCGTACTCAATCAACGTGGTTTTTATGTAACCATAAGAAAAATTTGGACTAACACTAAGTTTTGCCTTAAATGTGGTGATGAAATCGAAGGTTTTATACATTTAATGGGGAATATCTTTACTCATTTATATGACGAGTTAAATGGAGCGTCAAAGCTTATGGCAAAATCTCATCAAGCCAAGGCTATTTGGGAGTTCATGCATGCATTCAAACCAGACTTTTTGTGTCTCTCTACTCAAGCATCTTCTACGTTCCCAAATTTCGACGATATTTCATTCCATTGATGTGAGGTAACTATAATTATTTTTGTTACACGTGCATTATAAAAGTGGTATCTTTTTATTTCTAATAACTTGCAGGTTACATAATCATCTTTGTTAACTTTTGAGAGGAAATATAGTATAGTGTGATTTGAGTACAAACTAAAAAATGTTTTGATGTTTTCGAAATCAATGAAAAAGTTAAAACTCCATTACATTAACACAGTCCCACTTCTCTAGCATGCACTATTACTTAGCCATTGATGCATGACAAAAGATTTTTTTTTTAAATTTGAGATTGTGGACATTGATTCTTATTGATGGAAATAACTCAGAATAGATGAATGGTTGCTTTGTTCAGGAATGAGCGTTCTTGGTGAGGAGATCATCAGGAGCTGTGATTTAGCGAAGGCTACTTTTGTAACATAATCTATGACAAAATTTGATTTAGGACCTGGTTTGTTGTAACAAGAGAAACAAGACATTTTAACTACAAAAGTATGTTTGTAGTTAGAGTGCTTCTATGGTCTACCTTGGGTGCATATCATTTTTGTGGATATTCTTGAAAAATAATACTCCCTCCGTCCCACTGTCTTTGTCCACTTACCTTTTGGCACACCATCTAATGCACTTCTTTAATCCATTTTATCTTGTAATTTGTATATTAAAAAATTATAGAAATTATATATTAATAATCTATATGTTAAGACAAATCAAACAAGATCACACATGACTATATTTAGGCTTACACATTGAGAGAATTTGATGAGTCAAAATGCTTAGATGAACAGTTCCAAAAGTTAAAAGTGGACAAAGACAGTGGGACGGAGGTGGTAAAGAACGTTTTATTGATTGAATAATAGAAGAGGAATACAAAGTATGTATTTATAGGTGGAGGAATATATTCTAGAATCCTCCTCATTAATGACTAATTATATAAGGTAATATTATATAATAATAACTCTAACTATAATAGGTAACAACCATAATTATAATATATAATATTAAATATATTATATACTCTGTAATTGATATATTTAACATGCTCCAAACGTCCTGAACGGTGAAGGTTGAACGCCAACTTTACTTGAATCGTGATCAGAATTGTAATCAGAGGCTAGAGGCATATCTTCGGCTAGAGTAGACTGAATGCATCCGCCCTAGAAGAGAAGAAGAAAGATTACCAGGAAAGAGATGTGAAGACGCTGATGAGGAGAGGAGAAAAGCCGCTGCGAACAGACTCATGTTGCTAACGTCGAAAGAGGGAGAAGGTTGACGCGCGCTGGAGTCGTGCGCGACTGGGTTAGAGAAGGAACACAAGGAATGAGGTACTGCCGGAGATGCATGTTGACCAAAGATCTACCCACTAATTGTGCCTCATGTTACTCTCGAGTGAACAGGTGCTAGGGGATGCATGCTGACCAAAGATGTTGGCGCCAGGAGAGGCCAGTAGTTTGGTGGAGTAGGAATTGATTTAGACCTCTACTTTTTTTAAAGTCGTTGGACAACAAAAAAACTAGAAAACTTTGTAGTTTCAGGAGATGGTGAAGAATTTGGGTCAGAGGAAAACAGTGATCCGGCGGGCGGCGGTTAATGGCGGTGCCGCCCGCCAGAAGCGAAAGCGGAGAAATTTAGGTCACCAAGAACGGTGGCTCCGATATCATGAAAAATAATAAAGAACGTTTTATTGATTGAATAATAGAAGAGTAATACAAAGTATGTATTTATAGGTGGAGGAATATATTCTAGAATCCTACACATTAATGGCTAATTATATAAGGCAATATTATATAATAATAACTCTAACTATAATAGGTAACAACCATAATTATAATATATAATATTAAATATATTATATAATTGATATATTTAACAATTCTCACATAAAAAATCTTTCACTATTATTTTTTCATTAAAAAACAAATACTTATTTAAGTAGTAAGAAAATGTTTATTTTATTCATATGTAGGTTTATGGTGGACCTTAAGTCCACTATAAAATTTGCCTTGTTATCAAGGCTATGCATAACTTTAAACTATGTCTTACGGAGTACTAGTTTTTAAGGTCATGCATACCTTTAACAATGCTTGGTGTCCTTAAGGTTCTGCACACCTTCAAAAGCATTTCTACTGTTGTTTGTATCCATACTTCTAAATTCTAATCCATATTTACTGTTTATTATAAGGTTAAATTATGTTTGCAGTTTTTAAATGTTTGTTTTTTAAGGCCCCGTTTGGTACACGGAATTCTAACTATGAAATTGGAATTGAGGACTTCAATTCCAATTCTGGTGTTTGGTAGCACAAAAATTATGTAGATTTGGAATTGATAGTGCAAAAATGAATTGGAATTGGCAGAATTCAATTCTATGGAATTGAATCCCATGAAATTTCAATTCCAATTCAATTCCAATTCCATCAATTCCGTATACCAAACGGACCCTAAGGGTAAATTGTGTTTTCTCTTGATTATAAGAACATCCCTAGTGGTGAGAAAAAGTTTGTGAACTTCTGATGTGGCAGTTTTATTTTGTGGATGGTTTGCAGTTTTATTTGTTCATTGCAATTTTCAAAACATTGTCAGTAGGCATGCAATCAGGTCATTTTGTTTCATTTATATTATAACATGTATTAAAATTGATGTGGCTCAAGATTTCCCTAAGCAGACATGTTTCTTATTCTGGTGACCAGTAGCTTGAATTGCCTTTCTTCTCTCAGCTTTCTTTTGCTTTTCTAAAAGAAAAGTTTTTTTTTTCTTTATGCAATTTTAAGGTAGAAAGACCAAAGTAGGACTAAAACATTGAAAACATATCAAAATAGGACTTCCATGTTTTTATTCCCGAAATAGGACTTACATTACCAAACATGGTCATATACATTACCAAAAAAGTATAGTAATCTGCACATGTACACTGCCACATTACCACAATGCAAAGTCACAATAACACAGTGCAAAGTCATATTCCGGGAAAAAACATGAAAGTCCTATTTTGATACTTTTATCTATGTTTTAATCCTATTTAGGATAATTTCTACAATTTTAATGAAACAAACCTTTTCACTCAGTGTAGGTAACTGGTGAATGAAATAAACTTTTCCCTTCACATGAGAAGAGAAATAGAAAGCTTCAAACAATGAGTTTTTTGGTTTCAGATCCATACATTCCCCTTTAAGACTCTGGTAGAAAGTTGATAAATGTGTGGGCTATAAGCGATGGTGACGTGGATGTTTTGGCCAACCAAATAGTTTAACGAATCGTGTAAACGATTTTAGATTAAAATTATTTCGTGATATACCAAAATATTTTAATCAAATAAGACGTTAATAAAGAACAAACACTTTGAATTTGCACCTCAACCATACCAACGAGAGACTCTTTTCATAGAATCAAAAATAGAAGACCAGACATGAACGTTCGCGTAAACATGCAATCACTTGCACGTAGAGATAGACACGAAAGTGCTGCGAATGTTCGTGCAAAAAGTTTTCTTAAGGTATTGGACTCCGTTGACAAAAATCTGAAGCTCTGCCCCTTGGACCTGCCAGAGGTTGCCGCCCCCGGATTCCCGCTATGAATTTGTAATATCACTGAACGAGTGTGCACTCCGTACCTCCTAACTCATTTGACAACACCTATTAAAATTCTTGTCTGATTTGAATAAAAATTAATCACACAAAATAACCGATGACACTAAAATCATCAATACTTAACCAAAACATCAACTTCGCTGAGGCTATGCAAGAAGTGGAAAAAAATAAGGATTCCAAATGGGTGAGAGAGGAAAACAGATGTGGTCTTCATTGATGGTGCAAGAAAAATAAAGTGTCCTTGATCCTGAATATGTTATCCCTTGTTTTTTATTTATTATTTATTTTTATTGGAATCAAATTAGTTCACACCAAATCAGATCAGAAACATCTTTAGATATAACTACATTTAGATCAGATCAGATCAGATTAAAACTTATTTCAATCAGATTAGAACTATTCATCAGATCAGGTGAATAGAACACCACCTACATGACATTATCCCCCCGGGTCTATCACAAAACAGAAAGTAAATATTACTACAAGACCCCATTTGTAATTTGTAAACCCTCAAGGTATTATTTATTTTTTACGGTATACGAGTTCTCCACGTCCCTTCCTCGTTGCAGTATGCAGATATCTTTACAAAGGGTCTCCCAACCGCAGTCTTCCCAGAGTTTCGGGATAGCTTGGGAGTTCGGCAATCCTCACCAGTGCCGTTGGGAGCCTGTTAAATATATTGTTTCTATATTTAATATTGTATATATGTATATAGTAGTTACCATTCATGTATAGATTACATTAATTGTGTTTCCTAACACAATTAGGATACTCCTAGTATATAATCCCTTGTAACATTACATTATGATTATTGGAAAATAATCCCTTAGCCTATTTTTAGACTACAGTCGTCTACACAAAAACTTTTATTTGTAGCCACCATTGTATTCAGGGGCAGAGCCAAAGAGGAGCAATNTAATATCTATTGTTTTTTATTAAATTAATACTCTCTCCGTTCTGGAGTATTCGTCCAGTTTTTTACAAAGATTATGCTCAAATTAATAAATTGTTTTTTTATTAAATTAATATGAAGATTATGCTCAAATCAACACTTGTTTTATAAATTAACAGTTTTGATGAAGAAATTGAGTGCATGCATAATATTTCTTAAAATACTTATATTTAAATTATATGAATGTTAGCTTGACATAAATTCATTACTTTTTTAATTGTTTTTTACTCCGTATTATTTTTTTATATAAATATTTGGGGCACGACTCCCGAGCTCTCGATATAGCGCACCCACTACCCCTAAATCTTGGCTCCGCCACTGATTGTATTATATTTTCCGGCTATAATCTTGGCTTTCAAGAAATTAACTTTGAACATATTTAGAGTCTCATCTAAGTAGTCATCTTAATTACTTACTATTAGTGAAATCTCTCTATTTACAAGAGCAGCAGGAATATATTCCCGCTTAAATGTCTGGATGGACGGTTGCATGTTATGGGTCGGGTCAAATAAAACTGCCTTCAGCAACCTCCCCACTATTTCACTACCCAAGCACATCTGCACAACACATTTGTCTAAAAAAACCACTTCGTAGAATCCCTAATCCACGCATGAGGATCCGCACAAAAATTAGATCTGAGCCAACAGCAGATCCCTAGCCCCAGACGGACGACAACGGACGAAGCATAGAGATGTCAGAAGCAGGTCCTGCGTCTCAATTTTTGTCTCAGGCGAACGGGAATGGGGCGGAATCTGATGGGGCGATTTCGACTCTAGACGGATTAGTGTGAAAACATCGAAGGAAGCAGGGTCAGAGATTTTAAGTTCCAATTTTATTTATTTTTTTGATTATGATTTAATTTTCACATCTATTAATTTCAATTTTTATAAACTTTATTCTCTGTTTTTGATTAATTCGGGTGTTTCATTTCAATTTTCTTTGTAGTGAATGTTATAGTTATAATTATAAGTGGTGGCTTTGTTTCAATTTTTCATAAATCATTCTATTATTTTCGTGGGTGTTGCAAAGGTACCACCATCTCCACAGCCACCTCCTGCAGGGTACATGATTTGTCCATAAAAAAACCATCTCCTGTCATTGAATTTAAAACTTTTAGACCAGCATGGAATTTCAGGTTCTAGAACTTAGATGGCAGGAGGAGTGGGCAGGACTCTTTAGATGCATCAGTTTGGAAGATACACATGTATTATTAACTTTTCTCTGAGTGTTTCATTTTTGAATGTTTCATCGATAACAAGTTTTTGAATTTGACTATTAGGGAGAAACATGCACAGAAAAGAATGAATGCTCTTCATAAGCTAGGGTTGACACTCCAGCATTCTTTGCCCATGATAAGTTCGGGAGGAGTGGCGAGATCTCATCTTCTTCCATCTTACAAAGGGACATGCACAAGAGTTTCAAAATCTTCAATGGTGAGAAATCTCACTTTTAGCATAGGATTTCTGTATCTCCATTGTGATTCAGTGTTTTGTTGAAGAATTTTTAGAACCCAAAACAATTTCAGTTTAATTTTTAGTTTAATGTTAGATCCAAAGTGAGATGTAAGTTTATTTATAGGAAAATCTATTGACGAAGTTGATTTTTCTCATAGTCTTCCTCAGTTTTTAGCCTTCGTTCATGTTCAAATTTTAGGGTCAAACATTAAACATTAAACATTAAACTAAAAACTGATACAAATTTTATGAATGTAATTTTACCAAAAACTAAAATATTGGTAGGATGACATAAGAGTGGATAAAGGGAGTCATGTTCTTCATTTTTAAAATAAATATTTTCTTTTGACAAGCTAAACAAAATTATTTTAACTCAGTATACTTTTACATTATTGTCACTTATTCATTAAGATCATACAAATGATATTTTTTCTTGACATAATCAAATTATTTTACTTAATTACACTTTTTCACTATTGTCTGTTATTCATTATGATGGAGAGCAAGGATACAAACGACTCAGGTGGTTGGACTTTTGTGTTTGGGAACAATCTTGCTGATGATGTTGATTAGCTGCAGTATTTCGTGTTTACATTTTTCTATTCTCACCATTTTTCTTCTAAAAAATATACATATGACTCATTATCCATTTAAACAATCTTCATTTAGAAATATTGGATTTGAAATGATCCCAT